CCATGGGAAGGGACATCCCACGGGCAGCGTGACCCTGCCCTGCCCTGACGGGAGCTGCTCTGTGTCGCAGTGCTCTGTTCCCAGACGTGGTGAACTGCATGCAGACGGACAACCTGGAGCTGAAGAAGCTTGTCTACCTCTACCTGATGAACTACGCCAAGAGCCAGCCCGACATGGCCATCATGGCAGTGAACACCTTYGTCAAGGTGAGGGGACACCACACGCTGGGTCACCACACCAGGGGACACCAAGCRTTGGGTCACCACACCAAGCTGTGAGTTGGGGAGCGTGGGCAGCCTTCCAAAGCCTGTCCCTTCTGGAGGAGGGGCTCTCCAAGCTCTAGAAAACAGATTGAATTTGTCCAGTAATGCAGAAACCCATTTTTTGGCAGCTGTCCTGGTSTGGGCAGCTCTCGTGATCGGGAGCCGTCATGTGAATTTGTGTGCTGAGAAATTCCTCCTGATCTTCCCGTTGGAGATGGGAATTAAACAGTGTGTGAAGAGCCAGGATATTGCCAAATCACTCAGTGAAAAGGCCTGGTGGGCTTCAGAGCAAGTTTGGGCTTTTTAGGGAGGATAAACCCCACATCATAATCCCAAAGTGTGGGATTGTGCCCTGGAGCTAGGATGCAGCAGAGCCCTGTGGGAGAGCTCAGTTTGGGTCCATCAGGGGCTGTTTTTGATACAGATCCATTAAAAAAAAATCCACTGGGGAAGGACAATCCCATCAGCTGCTGCGAGGTTGGCTCAGGCTGGGTTCAGGTCCCTGGTATAAGTGATGAGGGATTCCTGGAGGGAATGAGTCCTGGGAGTGAGGATTGGTGGTGTTGGAACTCAGTGGGTGCAGCACAGGAGAGAAACTTCTCTYGGGTGTCTCATTCTCGAGAGCGGAGTGTGAAAACCTTGGGATTTGAACCCAAATCTGCCTGGAGCCCAGCATTTCCCACCTGCCCTCTGCTCCCTGCAGGACTGCGAGGACCCAAACCCGCTGATCCGGGCTCTGGCCGTGCGGACCATGGGCTGCATCCGTGTGGACAAGATCACRGAGTATCTGTGCGAGCCCCTGCGCAAGTGCCTCAAGGACGAGGACCCCTACGTGCGCAAAACGGCCGCCGTCTGCGTGGCCAAACTGCACGACATCAACGCCCAGCTGGTGGAGGACCAGGGCTTCCTGGACACCCTCAAGGATCTCATCTCAGACTCCAACCCCATGGTGAGTATTTTTTGCCTTCTTCCTCCTCTCTTCATCCCAGCTCTCTCCCATCATCTTCCTCCCAGACTCCTTTTGGTGTTAACAAACCGTTTTTAGGGAATTTTTGCTCCTTAGGATGCGTTCCCTGCCCTGTAACCATGTCTCTCCTGAATGGAGGGTTTCTCCCATCCCCTGGCAGTTTTATTCCTCTGTTCCCAGTGGGAAGGAGGCTGCTCCAGCTGGCTCAGAGCAGAGGGGGAAGCTGGTGTTTGGTTCTGATACCACACAGCCAGCKGCTCTTGCCTCTGCTTTTCCTGGCAGCTGGTCTTTGGCTTTCATCCCTTTCCCTGGGCAGGRGGAACTTTAAACCAGCTTTCCCTAGGGTTTCTCCTCCCTGCTTTTCCAGTCTTGGCCAGGGGGCAGGGTTGAGCCCAGGAGCTGTGTGGGGAGCTCTGGGGAAGGGGAGCAGGGCACAGAGCCACGGCTGCCTCCTGTGGAACGCGTGGGAGCTGTCGGAGATGCGTTGGGGGCGGTGGGGATGGCTCATCCATACCTTCGGATCTGCTGGGGGCAAGTAGCAACTGGAGCCCGGATGTGGGTGGACTGCAGGGGGTAGCTCATCCCTCATGCCACATTCAGTGTCCCCTGACTCGTGTCCTGTCCCCCATGGCAGGTGGTGGCCAACGCAGTGGCGGCGCTGTCGGAGATTGCAGAGTCTCATCCCAGCAGCAACCTCCTGGACCTCAACCCCCAGTCCATCAACAAGCTGCTGACAGCCCTCAACGAGTGCACCGAGTGGGGCCAGATCTTCATCCTGGACTGCCTGGCCAACTACATGCCCAAGGATGACCGGGAAGCCCAGAGGTGAGGGGACTCTAGGCTGGACAGGGGAGGGGACGGGCAGGGCCTGGCACTGCCCCTTCTCTGAGGAGCGGCTTCATCCTCCTGACCCTGCTGCAGGAGTGGGGACRGCGGGCATCTGCTGGAGCTGTGCCTTGGGCACGGCCATCTGGAGCCTGCCCTGGTCCCGGAGTGAGCCCTGGCACTGGGATTGTCCTCCTTGAGCTGCTGAAAATGTGGCTGCAGGGAACAACAGGCACCAGGGAGCCCCAAAACGGGGTCACCGCCAGAGGGTTCGGCACAACCTGGGGAATAACCTTCACTGGGGCATTTGAGAACTGGTCYAGCCTGTTTGGGAAGGTCCCAAAGTGCTGCTCAGCTTTCCTGCAAGTCYTTCCTCAATGCTAGCAGGGGTTTTTCAGCAGGGAGAAGGGCTGGGATCATTTCCTTTCCCTCCTCCTCACCCTGGCAGCATCTGCGAGCGGGTGACGCCACGGCTGTCCCACGCCAACTCGGCCGTGGTGCTGTCGGCCGTCAAGGTGCTGATGAAGTTCATGGAGATGCTGTCCAAGGACCTGGATTATTATGGCACTCTCCTAAAGAAGCTGGCCCCTCCGCTGGTCACCCTGCTGTCAGCAGAGCCCGAGCTGCAGTACGTGGCCCTCCGCAACATCAACCTCATCGTGCAGAAAAGGTGAGTGCCCAGCTGTCCCCTCTTTTCCCAGTGCTCCAGCCACTTTGAGACCAGCACTGTCACAACCCATCCTGTGAGGTGTTTTCTTCTCAGTTATTTAAAATCWAAAAATTTCATCCAAACATCCAAAAATTTAAAATCCACAACCATCATGGAATGGTTTGGTTTTTGGAGGGGTCTTAAAGCTCATCTCACCCCCTGCCATGGGGCACCTTCCACTAGACAGGGTTGTTCCAAGTCCCRTCCAACCTGGCCTTGAGTCAGTCAGGTGAGGGAATGAGCAGCGAGCTAAGCTGGGATCTCCAGTTCCTTTTATCCTTTAGCTGAATTTATTCTTTATTTGGGGCAGCAAAGGATGGCAAAACCAAAAGCTGGGAGACTTCGGAGCAATCATTCCGTGTTTAGGAAAGGAATTTTGAGCTGCCAGCTGCTTTCTCCACAGTTGTCCCCTTTGAAGGAGTGCTCAGAGTCCTTTTGTCCCTTTGCTGCTCTGAAATGCTGGTGGGCAGGAGGTGGCCCAGGCCCCACACGTGTGCCYGGAGCAGAAGTGGCAGCTGCAGAGCCCCGGCCCCGTCAGATGATTCGTCCTCCTCCCGCTCGGCGCCGTGGTCGTCTCTCAAAAATAGCAGCAATTTCTGGGCGAGGTGGAAAGCAATTAATGTCCCTGGGAGTGGGAATGTGGGAGGCAGGAGCTGGCCTAACTCTGACCCAGCTTAGAGAGAGGAGGAGCTGGGCACAAAGGTCCAGTCTAGCCCTGGGCTCTGCATTTGTGGCCCTGCTCCCACCTTACCACAACAAACGGCCCCTGTCGCCTCACGGCTGGCACGTGTTGGTGGCAAGGTTGTGCTCTGTCCCCTTCAAAGGGGAGCCAAGGAACAGAATCCTGGGGGATAATCACGGTGTTTTGGATTCCTTGGCATTAAAAAGCCCCCCAAAACCTTGGGATTGTGCCCAAAGAGCCTCATCCTCCTGGCCTGGAGTGCTCACTCTGAGTGTTTCCCCAGTTTGTGTCTATGGGACAGAATCCTGGGGAATAATCATGATTTTTGGATCCCTTGGCATTGAAAAGATCCCCAAAACCTTGGGATTGTGTCCAAGGAGCCTCATCCTCCTGGCCTGGAGTGCTCATTCTGAATTTCCCCAGTTTGTGTCCACAGGGCAGAATCCTGAGGGAACAACCATGGCGTTTTGGATCCCTTGGCATTAAAAAGCCCCCCAAAACCTGGGATTGTGCCCAAAGAGCCTCATCCTCCTGCCCTGGAGTGCTCACACTCTGTGTTTCCCCAGCTCATGTCCACAGGGCAGAWTCCTGAGGGAACAATCACSGTRTTCTGGATTCSTTRGCATTGAAAAGATCCCCAAAACYTTGGTATTGTCGCCAAGGAGCCTCATCCTCCTGCCCTGGAGCAYTGATTCTCTGAGTTTCCCCAGTTTGTGTTGACAGGGCAGAATCCTGAGGAATAATCCATGTTTTGGATCCCTTGGCATGGAATAAACCCCCAAAACCTTGGGATTGTGTCCAAAGAGCCTCATCCTYCTGSCCTGGAGTGCTCACTCTGAGTGTTTCCCCAGTTTGTGTCTACAGGGCAGAATCCTGGGGATTTGTTTTTGGATCCTTTGGCATTGAATAAACCCCCAAAACCTTGGGATTGTGCCCAAGGAGCCTCATCCTCCTGCCCTGGAGCACTCACTCTCTGCGTTTCCCCAGTTTGTGTCCACAGGGCAGAATCCTTGGAGTGTTTTGGATCCCTTGGCATTAAAAAGCCCCCCAAAACCTTGGGATTGTGCCCAAGGAACCTCATCCTCCTGGCCTGGAGSGCTCACTCTGCGAGTTTYCCCAGTTTGTGTCCACAGGGCGATAATCACCATGATTTGGATCCCTTGGCGTGGAATAAACCCCCAAACTTTGGGATTGTGGTGGAAATGGGTGCACATCCCTCCCTAACCCGTGTCCCTCGCTGCCCCCAGGCCCGAGATTCTGAAGCACGAGATGAAGGTGTTCTTTGTCAAGTACAACGACCCCATCTATGTCAAACTGGAGAAACTGGACATCATGATCCGCCTGGCCTCCCAAGCCAACATAGCTCAGGTCAGGAGCTGCYACATCCCAACCCCAGCCCCAGCTCTGCTTTAGCCATTGAAATAATTGATATTTTAAATATTGACACTTTGTTTATTGTAACAAARATTGTATGAAAAAAGTTACAATTGAAAAGAAGCTTTTCAGAAGATATTTAATTAATATTTTAGATTGTAAATTAAGTCGCTGAAATGAGATAAAGGGAAATTAAAGAGGTTTTTTTCGAAGACATGTAATTAAGATTTTAGGTTGCAAATTAAATTGCTAAAATGAGATAAAGAGAAATTTGTTGTTTAATTATTTTAGGTTAATTATAAATTATTTTAGGTTAAAGAAATGTATTTATATTGAATAAAATATATTGAATATTTAAAATTTTATATTAAAAATATATTCAATATCTTAATATAACCCAATATAATTTAATTTTATATTAATATTAGATATATTAAATTTATATTAATTTATAGATAATAAATATTTTATTTCTATTGAATAAAATAGAGGGGTTTTTTAGTTAGTTTTGGGGTGGGGGAGGCTACAGTTTATAAAAGTTAGGTTTTTATACATTTTATTTTARWTTTTTTTWAAATAGGGGTAGGGAGAGGAAATTATATAAATTGGTTTTGTTGTAAAACTTAAATTTTACAGGTTATTTTTATGGAATATTTATGCGAGAGATAGTTAGGGGCATTATAATTTATTAAAGGAGGGTAGTTGATTTATTAAAGGTTTAGTTATTAAAGGTTAATTTATTAAAAGGGGTAGTTGGGCGGGCTTATAATTTATTAAATGTTTTTTAGAGTGGGGTTTTTTTTGAGGTTTTGTATTATGGGATATAATTGATTATAGGATAGAATTGGTTATAGAGTAAAATTGGTTATAGGATAGAATTGGTTATAGGGTAGAATTGGTTATAGGGTAGAATTGGTTATAGGATAGAAATGGTTATAGGATAGAATTGGTTATAGGGTAGAATTGGTTATAGGGTAGAATTGGTTATAGGGTAGAATTGGTTATAGGGTAGAAATGGTTATAGGGTAGAATTGATTTTGGGTTCATTGTAAAGGACAGATGTTTTTTTTGAAGAGATGTGTTTGGGTATGTGTAAGTCATGCCAGGCCCGTGGGTCAGTGCCCCGCTCTCCTGTGCCCTGTCCCCAGTGCCAGGCTCTGACTGTGCCCCCCGTCCCGCAGGTGCTGGCGGAGCTGAAGGAATAYGCCACGGAGGTGGATGTGGATTTTGTCAGGAAGGCGGTGAGAGCCATCGGCCGCTGCGCCATCAAGGTGGAGGTGAGGGCTGGGACCCAGGGGCACTGTGGGTGGGCAGGGCAGCACTCCCCAGCACGTGGTGGGCTCTCATCCCRGGAATTTGTGACCTGGAGCCACCCCAGGTCTGGGGATGAGTGTGGTTGTTCCACAGGGATCATATGGGGTGCCAGTATTCCATCCCCTTATCCTTTAGGGAGCTGCTTTAGGATCCCTGCCTAAAACAGAGCCAGCAGCTCTGAGTGCA